ACTATTTGCAAATAGTGAATAATATTGTAGGTCCATTTTATTGTTGTTCTTTCTACGTGCCTTTATAACACGTTATAACACATTTTCATCTTATCATTTAATTTCTGTTGTGCATATATTGTTGTATAGAAGATATTTTATAGTGATTCATCAGGTGGAAACCGAACAGATAGATAGATAAACCGATATGTGTACCTAAATTAATCTAGAAATTTTCATATAAGTGACCTGAAAAACGGTAAACTATGGCCCTATTTACAGAAACTTGTTTTATTCTCATTTCATTATAAATATGGCACTATTGTGTGCCATTTTTGCTGTCTTTAATTAGTGACCTGAAAAATGGGGCTAACTCGGTAACCCGTGGCCCGATTTTAATGAAACTTGTTTTATTCTGTTTGTATTCTCATTTCGTTACAAATATGGCAGTATTGTATGCCGTTTTTGCTGTATTTAATTACAGACAAGCACACACACACAAACAATCTGAGTTTTAGTAGTATATAAATATAAAAGAAGTTGTCATTTTTTGTATGTGTAAGTCTCATTGTATGAGTAATTTTTAATTTCAGTTTGCACCATTTTTATTGGTTTTTTTATTTTACTTGAAAATTGTTTTCATTTTATCAGTGTCTGAATGTATTTATTTTATGATGAAGAGGAAAATTTGGTGAACAAAGGTCATTGAAGGAAGAGCAAGGGCCCCTGGGTTTTTTTTTTTGTACAAAACTCCAACTTATTATTTTTTGACATGTCGTGCAAGGCTAGTAACTATTATAATTTAACTGCTTTTCCAACTAGGACAAGAGGGACTTAATTCTCTTTGCTGCTTGATCTAAACACCATGTGATAAATTTTCAAACTGAAGATGAAATTGACAGTACTCTGTACTGAAAACAATGTAGCATTATACATCATTTGATAGATTAAATTGGTTATAAATTATTGTCAGATTTTAAAATAAAATATTTATATATATATAACTTTCCTTTTTGCCAATTGTCAAATAGAAAGGCTTTTAGTTATATATATACTATTATTTTTGGACTTAGGATTCTTCTACAGTAGGTGTCTGTGACTTGTTAGTGATAAATTCAACGATGAATAAACAGCACACACTTGTTTTCAAAATAATATATATACTCAAAACAAGATGACGTATGTACAATATATTCTTCAACACTACAGATATTATGGGCATATCATAAATACTATATATGTAGTTCTCTCCTTCTTGTCAAGCATCCACTTAGGCCTATTCAATTACTTTAGAATTTCAGTTGACAGGTCGAACTATCTTCTTTATTTCTGTCGCGCTTGTATTATCTGGGATTCATTTTCATTCATGGTGCAAGTTACCATAATCGTTCGGTCTTCTTTCTTCTGAAGATCCTCTGTTACTTTTGTCAAATTGCACTCGGGCTGATTCACTTACTTTAGGACCACGCTTTGACGGGATAAAATTATTTTTCTTCTTTTCTACTGTTACTTTCACTCTAACATATCAAACATTAGGTCTATCACTTCTTCGGTACTTAACTTCACACCAACTTTATTCTCTATTTCTATTATCTGTCTCCTATTCCCGCTCGTCTCACATTATTTATATATTTATCACTTAATCGTTTGTCCACCTTCTATAGTCTCGATGTCAATGCATTGTACGTGACATTCGCTGTTCTCAACATCAATGAGTTATTAACAAAACCTCCTACAATCGTCTCCTTTTAACTCTTATTATAACCAAAACTAAAAAAATATTAGAACATTTACTCACAAAACTAAATTAATCAATAATATCTAAACCAAACAGTCTTTTATATTATGACAGTGATATGGTATAATATGTCAGAGAGAATTATGAGTAATTTGTGAAAGACAGGATGTGGCAGATGGGTGTGACAAGTGGTTTTGATTTTCTAGTTTATAACTCCATAAAGAATTAAGATTAAAGGCTATAAAAATTAAAGTTTGCATTGGTAATATCTATGTTATAAAGAGTAATTTACATTAAATTCTGTACTTCAGAGAGGGGTAGTAAATAAATTAGAGATAGGGGAAGATCTGGAGGAGAAATGTCATAATTCTCATACTAGAAGGGCCATTGTGGATTTTTTTAAATACTTCCTTATAAACTTAAAATTTGATTTATTAACTGTTTTGATGCCAAGTTTATTAGTAAACATTGATTATAAAGTAGTTTAATTAAATTTTGAACGTAAAAGCAAGAGTTCCCACTTGATTTGTTGTCCATTTTGTATTTCATGCTCATACAATATATAGTATCTTGTGATATATGATTTATTAATATTCATAAATTCATTTTGTTTAAAACAACTTTGAAACCCATAATATGTGACTATATTTCACAAAGTTATGCCTTTATTTAGTAATTGTAGTCTCTTACTGCATATTAAAAACATGCTAAGATCACGTTTCTACATTTACATAATAATTTCTTAAGAACTGTAAATCCAGATAACATATTCTTTAATGAAAATGTTTTAAATAATAATAATAATTTTACAGTTTAACAAGTTACTAAAATTTACAATTTCATTAAATTGCAAAATTTTAAACAACATGAATAAATAATGTACAAACCAGAAAATAATTTGTAAACCTTAGTGTCATTTAATAATAGCTAGGCAAACAACGATTTATAAGCATAAGGAAAAGTTTTATCGATGGTGGAACATACTACATGTTTCAACAGAACATTGGTCTGTCTTCTTCATACCTAAATAATTAAAGATGTTCAACAACAAGATGAAGAATCCTTACTGTTCAAGCATAAACTGGGTGAATAAATAATTTTAAGTTATTCATAAATATACTGCAGTATATTTATGAATAACTTAACATTATTTATTCACCCAGTTTATGCTTGAACGGTAAGGATTCTTCATTTTGTTTAACACCACTAATAAATAGAATGGTGGAGGTGTTTATAAACCAGTTCCATTAACCATTATTTTTAAAAATAATGGTTAACAGAACTGGTTTATAAACACCTCCTCCATTCTATTTATTAGTGGTGTTAAACAAGTTGAAGAATCCTTACCGTTCAAGCATAAACTGGGTGAATAAATAATGTTAAGTTATTCATAAATATACTGAAAAATAATGGTTATCGGAACTGGTTTATTAAAATTTGTTTTTACTTTTTTTAATAATAAATATGAAACTAGGAATGGTTAATCTTTTGTCACAGAGACTACATTATGAAGAATTTACAGGGCGTTAGTTGGTTTAAGTAGCTATTTGTCACATTTAGAATAGTTCAGTATACTGGGGTAATATGACGAACTTCAGGTAGCTGGACAGCTAACACGATTTATGCTTGAACAGTAAGGATACTTCGTTTTGTTTAACACCACAAATTATTAATTAAAATGGTGGAGGCTGGGAGTTCTGTAGAAATTAATGGTAGTTTGTTCCTACTATTAGAATGTTATTATTATTTGTTATAATATCAAAAAAAATGGTGGAGGTTGGGAGCTCTACTTTGTAGGATTTTTGAGTTGGTTTAATTCTTTGTTAAAGCTATATTAAGGGTAACTGCCTTCCAACAAGGCGAGTTTTACATTGGCATTTGGATTTTGCCTGACAGGTGGAATATTCCCAATGCATTTAGGTGCTATGACCACAGGCATTATCCATTATGACTTAAGGATGAAAGCAAGGAATTATAACGGAGGCATAATTTTGAATTTCAGTTCTGTTGTTTCTGGTTTATATTACACTAGCTGAGTTACCCGGCATTGCACAGTGAAAATTTAGATTTGAAATGTATAGATCAGTATTTTTTTTCAGCAAATTATTCAGTAAGTAGACAAAAGCTGTGATTCAAGAAATAAAAAAGCATTTAATCAAACAAAGCTTTATTTGAAATAAGATCATGTTTGAGCTTGTCTTGTTATTTGAGCCTGAAGTCGTACATCATGTTGCTCCTCTGTTTCTTGCTATCTGCAAATTATTTGTCTTAATGTTTTTGCTTGAAGTCTGGTTTGACGTTGTTCAGAAGTTTATTGTTGTCTATATCCAGCTTGCTTTGATGATTCTGACTGAACTCTCGCTTTGTGCTGTTCAACGGTTTCTTGCTGTCTTTGAGTAGCCTGC